TCTCTAGTACACGTGGTACAGGCCATGATAATCATGGTGGGTAGAAGTTGGCAACTGCTTTTACTGTAAGTGCACCACATGTCTACATGTGTAAAAAGAAATGTGCTACAATTACAAGATGGAAGAAAGAGGAAAAATAACGATAAATATACAATATTTATTAATTATATCTTTAAAAAAAAAGAGTGGGTTTTTTTCTGCATCTAATTTTAAGAATAATATTTTAGGGTTCTTAGAAAACTATCTTCTTCTTATCTGCTATCTTGTTTACATACTTGATAACATTAACTATTTAAAACATGCTGTAGTAAAATTTCTCATTTGGATCGTAACCACGCTGTGCTACTTTCTTGGCTCTCCCCCAGGAGGCCCAGGATTGATTCCCGGCATGGAAAGTTTTTTACTTTGGTTAGTAGCTCGTAAAACAATATTCTCTCTCTTTATTTTCTCATTCAGTACTTTTGTCTGAAGATGCTAACAACACTAACGTCACACACTATTTATTTATTTGGTCTTATTACCTTGTTTTTATAATCTATAATCCAAATTGTGTCTTATCATCTCAATTGTGGTCATACAGTAGAAATGGTAGTAATGGGCACCTAGTTGCGAAGCTAAAGTGTCCTTTAGGGAAAGTGGTCCTCTTATCAGAGAGTTGCTAATTAGTAAAACTGGTAATTTTGGTGACAAAAACTGTTCTTTGTAGAGGTGTCCTCTAATGGAGGCTGTAGTATAACAATAATTGGGGTCCCAAGTGATGTTGTTATAATTAGCTATGCTAGCGAAAAAAGGCACAAAAGAACCCTTGCCACAGAAAAATAAACTTACTTTTAAAGAAATAGAAACAGTAGCCAAAACAAAATTAAACAAGAACTGGAGGATCCCACCTAAGCACAGTTGGTACAGTGGAGTGAACCCAGGAGGAGCTCTGAACATCAGAAATAGACAGCATCAAACAACACTAACAAGATTTAGAATGGGCCATCTCAAGCCATTGAAGATAGAAAATAATAACAAAATCTACCCCACTTGCCCAAAATGTAGCTTGTCACCTGCAGCTCCAGAACACATTTTGGCTTGCATTAGATGCACTAAACAGGACCTTTGGGAGAGGCCGCTGCTCATCATAAAACAGCTCGAGGAGCATGAAATCATGGAATTCGTGTAATCTTTACACAAGGGGATAAGAAACAACAACAACAACAACAGCTTCATCCCAGTATAATATCTATTACTTTAGCTGTAAACAGTCTGATACACGCCCGCGAGAGCAAATGCCAATAACAATTGTTTTTCAATTATTTAGTATAAAGATTTTTAAGAGTTTGTACATAGAGTATTAGCCTGTTGAAGAACAGTATATTTGCTCGAAAGCTTGAAAATTCAAAATTAAAAGAAACTTTTTACCTGATTTTTATTTTTCCTTTTTCAAATAATTTCTGGGAAACTATTGCTCACAAAATTAGCTTCAACTACAAATGATATACACATGATAATGACCTACTACATCTCTGAATGCACTATTGTTAACGAGGAACGGAATAAGAACTTAAAGAGCATTATCCAAGTCTATGTGAACCCAGTTCAGCTAATCAGAATAATGTCAGAGAAAAATATATATAGCGATAGAATTGTTTAACTTTCATAAAGCGTTAGAGAACAAGGTAATCTCTAAGAACTAAAATTACAGAACAATTTCCTTCCATAGTTAATTTGTATAGTTATGTTGAATACTTTGATTTCCTTTTCATTTTCCCTTCTCTCCTTTGTTTATGTTTTTTTCCCCCTTTCTTCATGAAAAAGAAGTATGGCGAGTCCTTACAGGACGGAAATGTCCTAATAAAGCTGCGGTTGTTGTTGATATACACATGATACATATCTTTTCTCACCACAATCAGGTCTATAACCACTGAACAGAGGACAGTGGCCATCTTGAACTGCTCTAATGCCTATGAACTCAGCACCAAACAGTGGAAGCTTCTATACAAAGTACTTTGCTGGAACTTACTTCTGAGCTGTCTCAAAAGGATTGGAGAGATCCGTGTCGGAGGAGGAATGAAGAACAGTCTCCAGGTTGAGTCCCACCAGTTTCTCCTGCAGGTGTTTGGCTTGCTGCTGGAGAGTGGCTGTGGTCTCATTGACATCTGCTTTCTCTGCAGCCTCCTGCACACCAATATTCTTACTCACTCCCACTTGTCCTTGATTGGCTTCATAAAGAATCTTTTTTTTTTTCTTACCCCCTAGTACACGTGGTACTGGCTATGGTAATCAGGGTGGGTAGAAGTAGGCGACTGCTTTTACTGTAAGTTCACCACATGTCTACGGATGTGAAAAGCAGTTCGACTTTGCACTTACAAATGTGCCATAGCCCCGTTTGGTTACTTGCACTTGCTGGAGGAGTTGGACTTTGGCAAGAATTGGGGGCCATTGGAGCATTTTCTTTTTAATTAGGATAAAGTGTCCAATGCGGGAATCGAACCTGGGTTGCAGCGGTCGAAAACCAATGGTTTAGACCATTCTTCCACCGACCCCCTGATCTCACCTTGAAATTGGAGAGCTCCTGTACCAGGTCTCCCAGCTCTGCTTCCAGCCGCTTGTACTTCTGTTCTAGGGTCTCTTCTTCCTGGCCACAGCCCAGCTGAACACACCAACATCTCAGATGGACACATTCACAACAAAGTTGGACACACTCATATTCCAGATGGAAAGGGCCACATTGTAGCAGTTAGAGGATATATGCACACAATTTGAGTCGGCACATCCCCACCTCAATTGGATACAGCCATATCCAAGTTGGATACAGATTGCTACTTAAATAAATCCATTTTAAATGGACAATTTCCTGTATTATATTATATATTGGAAATTGGGAGGAGGAAGAAAGAACCCACAATCTTCTATTAAACAAAGATTATTTATTTTCTGAAGTAATGAACTTAAAATGAAAGAGAGGGGGACAAAATCGAGCAGCTATACGTGGTAAAATCAATAAAATTACTCAAAATCTTACTTGACAATGCTACATATTGGCCCAACTTTACATGACTTAACCTGACCAGACCTAAATTCTAACAAATAAAGTTACCATATACTGTAAAATCCCTCTATAGTGAATGCAAATGGGAATTAACTTTTGGTTCACTATAGACATGGTTTGGTTATTTTTTAATTTTCAAAAATTTCAGATTGTATAATTAAAGGACAGAAAATACACACAGAAAAAAAGATACCTCTTTTTTTATTATTATTATCCCTAGTACACGTAGTACAGGCCATGATAATCATAGTGGGTAGTTAGCAACTGCTTTTACTATAAGTGCACCACATGTCTACACATGTGAAAATCAGTTAGACTTTTGCACTTACAAATGTGCCAGAGCCCCGTTTAGTTACTTGCACTCGCTGGTGGGGTTGGACTTTTGCAAGAATCGTAGGCCATTGAAGCATTTTTTTTAACAGAAAAAAAGTTCCCAATGCGGGAATTAAACCCGGGTCGTAGCGGTCAAAAACCAACAGTTTAGACAATCCTTCCACCGACCGACTACACTGAACATACTGCGGCAGTGTGATAGCTTGCTTGCAAGTGTGGGAAACAAGAAATAGAACAGTGTGATCTGTGAGATTCCCTACAACCCTACACTTTGAAGACCCCATTTTTGGAATTACCCTCATAATAAGGTAAAATTTGGATATGTATAAAATATAGAGGTAATTCATAATACAATATAATGCGGCTTATGATTGTAAAACAACATTTGAAAATTATCCCACATATGTTTCTTTTAAACGAAAAATCAAAATTTATTTTAAGGAGAAATAACGATCATTTCTAACCTTAGGGATATAGTATGAAAGGATGAATTGTGAAGAGTAAAGATAAACGAAAAAATAAATTCCCATGGACACTTTTATTTTATCCGCTTATCATTACTCTTCACAATTCATCCTTTCATACTTCATCCCTAAGGTTAGAAATAATCATTTATTTCTCCTTAAAAAAATAAATTTTGATTTTTCATTTAAAAGAAAAACATGCGGGATAATTTTCAAATGTCGTTTTACAAAATACAGAAGATTTATTTATTTGACATATCGGACGCGATATCCCAGCTTGGGATACTTGCACCTAAATACATTTTAGCAGCTTATATACAATTCTTTTTATACAATCCAATAAACAAGACTAAAAGCAAAATTAAAACCGAAAGGTTGGTTTTCTCAAACAGAAAAGAAAATCTAAAATGAAATTACAAAAATTATTGAATTTTACATAGGTGTCTTTGTTATATAAGAATTCGCAAATTTCTTCGATGGGATAAAAATGACTACTTCTGTAGCTGTGAAAGACATTCTATCAATAAATGTATTGAGTTTTGGTTTTCTTTTCCACAGAAGCAGCTAGGATCATCTGTTGCCCTGATTTTTGCCAGAAATTCTCCAAAATTGACATGATTTGTGATGAATTGTGCGTTGTAAAAATTTGGATGAAAATAGTAACGAAATTCCAAATGGAAAAAAAAATCTGGAATGTTTCATTAGTGTTAGATTAAATAAATATGGAAGATTACAAAGACTAAATTCAAAAAGTGTAAGGTTTTGGGGTTTAATGATGGCTTTCTAGATTCATCATCCCACTAGTGTGATGGCATTGTAGTAATACCTCAAACACTGAATTTACTTTTTTTTTTCTTATCCCCAGTACACGTGGTACAGGCCATGATAATCATGGTGGGTAGAGGTTGATGACTGCTTTTACTGTAAATGCACCACATGTCTACACATGTGAAAAGCAGTTCGAATTTGCACTTACAAATGTGCCAGAGCTCCGTTTGGTTACACTTGCTGGTGGGATTGGACTTTTGTAAAAATCGGGGGCCATTGAAGCATTTTTTTTTTTTAACAGAAAAAATTGCCCAATGCGGGAATCGAACCCGGGTCATAGCGGTCGAAAAACAACGTTTTAGACCATCCTTCCACCGACCCCCTAAAAAAAAGAAGGAAGCCTACAGCTACACCTGATGTTCCCAGGTGGTCACCCTCCCAAGTACTGACTGGGATCGACATTGCTTAACTTCGGTGATCGGATGAGAACTGGTGTTTTCAACGTGGTATGGCCGTAGGTTACTTATTTGGCCTTGTGATTCTACACCTTTAGAAAAATCAGCACTTACAGTTTCATAGTCTTTAGCTTTAAACTCATATCCAGTTTTCCTCTTGGAAGCTATGGAGTCTGTGAAGTCTGAAACAGATACAAAAACACTGATTTACTTTATAGATCATGTAGTGAAGTGCTGATTAAAGTCAGGAAAACACAAGTCATGTACAAGATGTGAAAATACATGTATTTAATAAAATGCTTGTCTCTCTTCTTCTTATTTCTTATCTCCACTCAATCGTATTAGGATATCAAGTTGTGATCCTTGATGGTGTCTGTTTGACAACCATCATGACTGGGTGAAGTAGATTGCGTCTGCCTTTGTCATTAAGACTGGGAGCACTACTCAGTGGCAGGCCGACTTAGCCCCAAAAGAAATGGCCGCCTCTGACATGAGGAACAGACGCCATGTGCAGCTGCTCCTAACATGGAGTACAAACACTGCTCATCCTGTATCCCTGGATTAGGAACCCTTACAGGGAACTATCAGCCGGGCCAGCTGAGCCCAGGTTTTTTGGTGTCTTGTTACTGCTTCCCCTTCTCCTTTTTCATCCTGGGCTTGGGACCGGCAAAGGCGGAGTTATAAAATGCTTGTGAAATGCCAAGGATTATCTGTGAAACTGGTGACAAGTTTTTGTTTTCTGTGGGAAGACTCTCTTCTTTAGAGAAATAGAATCAGTCGGGAGAGAGATCAAGGGAAGAATATGAAGTGCAGAAAAACGAGAGAGTATTACACAATCCAACAATGTTCTATTTGTGATGCTACATCTTTCAGTTTTCCATATGAATCTGAAACATAAAGGAAGCAAGAAATAAAATGAGAGCCACAGAGATGTGATGAACAATCCTAAATAGTGGCTTATTACTGATGAGCCAGGCCATCCCAATAGTTTTTTTTTACTTATACTTTTAGTCTAAATTAGACAAGATCTTGGAGGTCGTGCTCGTAAAGAAGCTCAAGAACTCTTCTTGGTTCTCTGTACAGGGATCTTTTGTCCTTTCCAATGCAATTTAGTCAATGTTGGGGAGTGGCCTCTTCGGTTTTGCACCTAGTGCACATGGGGAAGCTTTTGGCTCCCTCTTTATAGACTAGAGGGCGCAGGTGACCAGATTTCCATCTGGCCAACTGTGTCGATTCCCTTCTGTTTAGTTGGAGGGTCTGTTTTTTGGGGTTTTCTACCTGGTACCAAGAATAATGGAAACTATCTCTATGGTTCCTTATTAGTTGTAGTTTCAGTTTGTTAATATGGTCCCTTGCTGAAAGGTAGGTCTCGGAGTTCACCGCATCAGGATGTCCAGCTGCTCCTTCCTTTGCCAATCTGTCGGCCTCCTATAGCCTCCAATAGTTTTAAATTGCAGTAACCACAATAGGAAATTTATTTTACTGAAAAGTCATGTTTGTATAAAATGTTTATATTATCATGTTTAATGGTTTTATTTCTTGTATATAGATGGATCTTATTACATTATTCTTAAAGTATTTAAACACAAGGTAATAAGACCAAATAAATAGTGTGCGACATTTCCTGAACGGTCTGAAGATGGTAACAACGCTGTTACCGAAATGTCACACACTATTTATTTATTTGGATTTGGTCTTATTACCTTGTGTTTATAATCTATAATCCAAATAGTGCCTTATCTTAAAGTATTTATTTCCAGTACGTTCTAAGAAAGTATTTTGAATTGAAAAAAAAAATAATAAAATAGTTGGAAGTGTAAAATTGAACTCGTTTAAGGCAAAGTTTTAGAAAAGTTGATTTGAAATACAGGATAGGTCAGTGTTGACAGTAAAAGTCTCATATCATGATATGGTACAATTTGAATTATGGATAAGAAATAGAAGATCAAATTCATAACTATTCAGAACAGGGTCGTGAAATATGTGGTCTTATATATCTTCTTCCTTATCTCCACTCAATCATATTAGGGTATCAAGTTGTGACCCTTAATGGTGTCTGTTTGACAACCATCATGACTGGGTGAAGTAGAATGCCTTTGTCATTAAGACTGGGAGCACTACTGAGTTGATAAAGAGAGAAAAAAATCAAAGATAAGGAGGATAAGTTTCTTTTATGAACAAACAATCAAGCTTTCGGGCATAAAAGAAACTTATCCTCCTTATCTTTGATTTTTTTCTCTCTTTATCAAGTTACTCCAGAGGATTTTAATTTATTTAAGCACTACTGAGTACCAGGCCGACTTAGCTCTAAAAGAAATGGCCACCTCTGACATAAGGAACAGACGCCATGTGCAGCCGCTCCTAACATGGGAGTACAAACGCTGCTCATCCTGTATCCCTGGATTAGGAACCCTTACAGGGTACTATCAGCCGGGCCAGCTGAGCCCAGGTTTTTTTAGCGAGCTTGTTACTGCTCCCCTTCCTCCTTTTTTATCCAGGCTTGGGACCGGCAAAGGCGGAGTTGGTCTTATATATAATAGATATATGTGTGATGATATTGAAATCAGATTACTGAATTATAACTGGTTCATTCATTTTTGGCTTGCATTAGATGCACTAAACAGGACCTTTGGGAGAGGCCACTGCTTATCATAAAACAGCTCAAGGAGCATGAACTCGTGGAATTTGTGTAATCTTTACACAATGGGATAAGGTAACAACAACAACAGGTACAGATACAAGAAAATAAGACCTAATCCAAATAATTTAATAGTGTGTGACGTTTCGGCAACAGCATTGTTTTACCATCATCAGACAAAAGAATAAAATTTTCATTTTCATTTTATTCTTTTGTCTGATGATGGTAACAATGATGTTGCTGAAATGTCACACTATTAAAATATTTGATTTAAGTCTTATTTTCTTGTATCTAAAATCTATAATCCAAATTGTGCTTTATCAACAACATTATTAATTTTATTGACTTTTGGCAGCTTTTTTGCTTGTAATTCCAAGGAGGTTATAGATAGGAAACTGAATATTCGAATTGGGGTCGATTAAAGTCTTGGACAATCGCTGAAAAAATCAATTCGCAACTCCCAACAGTTTCTGACTTGACATCGTTCAAGGTCCAAAAAGAAATATAGAAATTGGTTCATTCCCAGCTACCCTGACCATCCATATATGCAGTTTTCATACATGCGGTTGCCGACTCTCCTTGTTTGAATTTAATGATGTCATTTTTTCCAAGCATTCTGCCTCATTTATTATTTTCTTCCTTGCTTATACTAATGATATCCCAGAGGATATTTTCTCTGAATCACACCAGCTAGTGTGGACTGCTTCAACAACTAAAAGTGTGTTAAATAAAAGGAGGATAAGGCACAATTTGGATTATAGATTATAAACACAAGGTATTCTAAAAGAAAATAAGACCTAATCCAAATAATTTATTAGTGTGTGACGTTTCGGCAACAACATTGTCACCATCATCAGACAAATTGTCTGATGATGGTGACAATGTTGTTGCCGAAACATCACACACTAATAAATTATTTGGATTAGGTCTTATTTTCTTTTATTATAATCTATTATCCAAATTGTGCTTTATCATAAACACAAGGTAATAAGACCAAATCCAAATAAATAGTGTGTGACATTTCGATTACAGCATTGTTACCATCTTCAGACAAAAGTACTGGATGTATGAAGATGGTAACAACGCTGTTACCGAAACATCACACACTATTTATTTATTTGGATTTGGTCTTATTAGTGTTAATAAAAGGATGAGTTTTTGTGACACTGTACTTATATTTACATAATTTTACAAGATTTATAAATTTAACAAGAGAGTACTAATCAATTTTAGTTAATTAACACAAAGGAGAAACAATATTTAACAATAAACAATTTCAAAAATATCAAGAGTAGTATTCCTTTTTTGAATGGAGCTCACCTAGAGTTGTTGCTCTACTCTGTGAATGCATTTTATATTCCAACAATAGGTACCATCACTGCATTAATAATATTTCAGAGAAATTGTCTTTATTTATTTCCTTAGTGTAACTCCGCCTTTGCCGGTCCCAAGCCCGGATGAAAAAGGAGGAGGGGGAGCAGTAACAAGCTCGCTAAAAAACCCGGGCTCAGCTGGTCCAGCTGATAGTACCCTGTAAGGGCTTCTAATCCAGAGATACAGGATGAGCAGCATTTGTACACCATGTTAGGAGCAGCTGCACATGGTGTCTGTTCCTCATGTCAGAGGCGGCCATTTCTTTTGAAGCTAAGTCGGCCTGCTACTGAGTAGTGCTTCCAGTCTTAATGAAAAAGGCAGACACATTCTACTTCACCCAGTCATGATGGTTGTCAAGTGTCAAGCTCTACAAGCTTGATACCCTAATATGATTGAGTGGAGATAAGAAAGAAGAAGAAGATTTCCTTAGTGTGGTCAGTAGAAGATGATTTACCAATATCTTTGTTGATCAGTGACTGATCTTTGAATCTCTCATAGGCCTCACTGGGGGCCAGGGTGATCTTCTCGATGCTGTCGCTGTGGTCCTGCAGCACACACCATAGCTGTCCAGTAGCACCTTTATTGTCATCATTTGAGAGATTAGCAACATGTTGTTAGGCCTAGATTACCTTATGAACCCTTTTATTCCTAAGACCATTTTTCAATTCGTAATCTCAGTATTTAGATACTCAAGTGTCATTGCAATATGTTGAATGCTTTCCCTTGATTTGAAATTATACACTTTGGTGTACATTTTTCTGTGAATGCATTACAAGTAATTTCCACTTTGGTGTCCTCGAGTGGAATCGCTAAGGTATATTTGCTAAAGTGATCCACAATCATCAAAATGTGCTCGTACCTTTCTGCCGATTTTTATTTTTTTTAAATGGCCCTTGAAAGTCTACACCTACACGTTCCCATATATCCTTTGTGGGTGGTAGTGGTTCTAGCGGTGCTGCTGATTTGAACTTTGGTGTTTTGAATGCTTGGCATGTTCTACAGGACTTTATATACCTCCGCACGTCCTCGTCGAGACCTTTCCAATAAAA